TTTTTGTTTTTTTTTTTTTTTTTGTTTTTTTTCGATCGAAGCGAACACAACAAGCACGAGACGAGTCTTTCTATCGGCCGAGGAAAGAAAAACCGAAAGACGTGTGAAAGAAAAGGCGAAAAAACTCGTCCGCCTAAAAATAGAAGTGCCGCGCACTCTCACTCGCGTTTTTTGCGATTATAATTATTATTATTTCGCTCGTTTTCTGCGATCCGTCCTCCTCTCGTTCCTCGTGTTCTGCTTCTTCTTCTTCTTCTTCCTCCGACACCTCACCTCATGACGTTCGGGCTCTCGCGAATCGACGAGTGCGCGCAGTGTCTTCCCGGCAAGTACGGGCGACTATATACTTTGTATTAGCTCTACCGGCGGCGACGATCGGCAGCGCGCGGCAGATAACCAACTACACACACGTATTCCTCTCTCTCGCTCTTTCGCCGCAGTCGTTGGACTTTCTTCCGAGGAGGTGGTGCTCTCGAGCGCTTCAAACGTCACCACGAAATTAAATATTTGCACTGCTGCCGCTGATGTTGCACTAAAAACCGGAAAAAAATAAAAAATAAAAAAATAAAACGAATCCAAGGGAGGGAAACAAACGCCGCGTTGTGTGTCCTCCGCGTTTTGCCGGTATATGTCGTTTTACTGCACACTGATAGTAATAACCATATAACTATATGTAGCACTAATTGTACCGATAATAGCGCGTGGATTCGGAGTCGAAGCGGGCTTTGGTATAAAACAACTGTTCGTATCGCCGCCTGTGACTGGCGGGAGCTCTCGTCCGGTCACGCGCATGGCCGAGTGTAGTAGCGGTGCCGGCGAGACTGAGGCTATCTCTCCCTTGTGCGACGATGCGCGATCGGCTTGTCCACTACGAGTACAGAATACTCGCGAGAGTGTGTGTCCGAGCGAATCCGTGCAAAAAAGTGGACAATTTGCGACGGCGATCGCGGAATCGGTCGGATGTACTTGTTTTCCCCGCTCCCTGCCGCTTGTGGCGTTTCGATAAAAAAAAAAAGAAAAATCAGATGGGTACTCCTCAGGGTTTATATATAAATACGACGAGGCGAAACTGTGTACATTTATATATATATATGAAATTGTTGCACGTTTTTTTCACTCGTTTCTCTCTCGCTTGGACGCGAGTGCACGTGTTGTTACATTTTTAGCGCACCCAGCGAGCATGCACGGCTCGCGTGTGGAAAAATCCGCGTCTGCTGCACCTGTGCTTTTTTTTTTTTATCTCTCGCTCTCTCCTCTTTTATATAATTCATCGAGCTAACTTTATCACCGTCATAATTATTATTTTGTACTTACAATCGCCTCGTCAGCGATGAGGCTTTTTTTTCGTCGCTAATGTCATTGTCTCTCTCGTTACTTGCACATATTAATGCTAATGACATGCGCACAGTTGTTGCAGCTAAGTCGATTTTAGATTCCGCGTGCGAGCTCGCGCATGCAGACACTTGCACAAATGTTTAGATAATCGGTACTGAACTTTTTCTTTTGCTTCTTCTTCTTCTTACTCTCAGGGGAACTAATATGCAAAAATGAGAGTCTTATCATCGCGAGTGTTGATAAAAAATACATTTCGCAACGACGTTTGTACAGTAAAGCGCCGAATAGCTGACGCGCGTAGTTTGAAAAAAAAAAAAAAATTATCTGTACACGCATGATTGTCGTCCCGATAGCGAAATTAATCGACGACGTTGCAACGTTTTCCGTTGATGTAAGTAAGTATAATTATCGCGCTACATTTTTCGTGATCTTGGCACGCGGCGTATCTCGTTTCGCGTGCCAGATTTAGTTTGATTCTCGGATGAAAATAAAAAGAGCGAGTGTACGCGTCTAACGAGTAAACAAAAACAACGACGGCGGTCGTTTTTTGATGGGCCATACCTATAGTATGGTAGAATCAGCTAAAAATCATAACGATATCCCCAAAATTCTGACTAGCTTGAAAAAAAGAGGGTAGTAGTTTCAATGTATTATAACAAATTGAAACCGAATTTAACAAGTGCAAATGTCAGCAAGAGCCCCCAAAAAAATGGCAAAAATGGCCAAAACATATTTTTTGCGTCTAGAAGAAAACCGAAGAATCGTGCATAAATAAGATGTGTACGAACAAAATGAGCCGCGTTGGGTTTAGATCGGTTCAGTCGTTTTTTCGCAAATCGCAAAAAAAAGCCATTTTGAGCCATTTTTTCGAAATTCAATAACTCACACTTTATACAATATTTAGAGCTGAAATTTTAACAAAAGACAGATATCATAGCCCTTATCATTCACACAAAATTTCAGCTTAATCGGTTCTAAACTTTTCGCAAACCGAAGCAAAAATCGAAAAAAGGTTCTTTTCGAAAAATGGCTATAAAAATGTTGTTAGCCGACATAGATACATTTTTCAAACGTATTTTGCTTCGTCTATATTTACTCTACAAGTACCTAAAATTCCATTAATTTTTACCCATTAGAAGTATCATAAAAATTGATTACTAATTTTTTTTTTTTTTTTTTTGCGGGATAGAATTTAAAAATAGTTGTTAATACTTTTTATACATTTTAGAGTGTATACTTGGGTGCTCTAATTGGAACGTTTTGTATATTCTAAAAGTGGACGAGAGTATCGCCGAAATTATTTCAAATTTTTCCTTCACCATAAGCCAGTGCTACGGGCTCGCAAAGTCGTAAGGTATATCTTCCCAAAATAAAAATTAGCGCCCGTAGCGCTATACCCATCAGTAAAGTACTACGGAGAAATTCTTTCAAAGGAAGTTCTAGCGTAGCCTGAAAAATTACAACTTACTTTTGGTCTGCGCAAACAGCACAGGAAAAAAAACATTACATAAATGAAAAATCTTTTTTTTATAGTACTTGTCCGTTTCAGTGTTTGTAGTATGCCAGTTTTCGTAAAATGGCCCATACGTTATGCATTGTAATATACAAATAATGCAGGTATCAGGGAAAATTTGAGATGTTGTTTTGATGTCGTTTACGCGAGGGCTCGAGGTCGAGTGCATTGACTCGTTCGATGGGAAGGCAATGCACTTGTTGCGCGCGTAAACGTACAATAGACGCTTGTCGATACAATGGTATACTTAGGTACAGCGCGCGATCTCGTTTGAATTTCCAGCAAAACATTGTTGGGTGCAAGATTGTACTATGAACTCAAAATCTCACTCTTGCGACACGGCAGTCGACTCGAAGTGCGAATAATACCGACGCGATTACGTGATTTATGATTTTTCGGCGTTCTTGAAAAATAATAAGAAACGAGTCGGAGGAGGGGACGCAAACAAAGAAAAAAATAACGAGATTTACGTAATGCCGACACGTGAGACCTGTTGAAATACTTTTTTCTCGGGTATTATTACGAGTTCCAAGATTGCATTGAATTCATCGGTAAACAGATTTCGTATTTTTTTTTCTTTTTTTCTTTTTGCGCCCAATCGACCGATACGAGGGTTCATTATATACGACGTATACCAAGGGATCTTTGAGTCACTAAATGCAGTCGTTGTGGAACAGATGGACAAGTGAGTGTATGGTAAGGTCAAAGTATTTATTTATTTGCGTCCAATGGTAAATATGAGAGTGTATGCGAAAAGTAAATAATATTTTATTATAGAGAGAAAAAAAATCTTGATCGACATTGCCCACATTTGTGTAAGATCTGGGTACAAATATCAGATTATTTTTGGCAACGAAAGTTAAGAAATGCTGCTTACTGCTTTTATTATTAAGAAATTGACACAACAAATTGATTTAAATGCCAATTAACGTTCGTAACGTTATAAAACTGGAAATGTCTCTAAAAGCCCCGATTAGATGCGGCACTGAGTGCTTGATTCGTTTGGGTCCCGAGGCAATCCTAATGACAACAGTACATTATATACAAGCAAGAGTTTGCGTCTCATGCGTTTAACAACATTTGGTACACAACACAAATACATGGTATAAAATAAAGTTACAACTTATAATGGGGGCTCATTTGCCGCTAGGGGGCGTTCGCCGTCACATGAGCTGATAATCGCGTGTATTTCGTATAGATATACTAAGACGTATAAAGTATCTCGTGTGATGGCGAGCGCCTCTAGCGGCATAGTAGCCCTCATTTACAAAAATTTCAATCACTTGACTAGACTACACCGACGCTAAAAGCAAAAAAACGCTTTTCACCCGTGATTTTCGGGATGTAGTTTTTCTCCTCCCCAGCGTCGATAACATACAACACTCGAAACCCACGCCCACGTTTCACATGCAAAAAAAAAGAGGTCATCAATGAAAGGCCACGTGTTGCGAGGAATCACAATGCCTCCTTGATGACGACGGGTGCCGGCAGCAGTACCAGCTCCTCTTTCGACACCTCGCCCTCGCCTCGCTTGTCCTTCCTCAGGAACTCCGGATTGTTCCATTCCTGGACCTCCCCGCTGGCCCACAGGACAAACACAACGTTCGTCCCGAGCAGCACGCCAGCCACGATCCAAAACACCACACGCCACTCGGCCAGCGTCTGATTCGGCGTCAGCAGCCCAACGACGTACGGCGTGAGTATCCCCGTGGCGGAGGCCATGCAGTTGGTCAACGCCATGAGGGAGCCCGCGTAGTTCGGGGTGAGGTCGAGCACGTTGACCTTGACACTGGGTAAGGAGCTGCCGAGCAGGAACATGGCCGCGGTGATGGCAGTGACGACCGCGACCCTGTCGCAACCGGCATACGACGCTCCGATGAGGAAAACCGCCGGGCCCACCGAGGCAACTGTGGTCCCGAACTTCCTGACCTTCGTAGTGGTCGCCCGATTGGTCGCCACAAGCCAGTCCGAAAGCCACGAGGTTATCAGGCTCCCAAGCCACATGAAGAGGTACGGCAGTGCCGACAGGTAGCCATTGTCCCGGATCGAGAACTTCATTACACTTGACATGTACTTGTTGAGGTCACTGACTAGAGTTAAAAAGCCCCAGCCGTTGCCGATGGACGCCGCGCTGAGGGCCCAAACGGCTTTTGAGCGAAGGATACGTCCCCAAGGTACCACGGGGACTTCCCGGTGCTTGTGCTGGCTCAGTCGGTCATGCAGGAACTTGGCCTCCGCGTCGGAGATGAAGGGATGCTCGTCCGGGCTGTCGTAGCAGAGGATGACGAATAGGAGGAACCAGAGGATGCCAAAGCCACCGAAGAAGTAGAAGACCCCCGGCCAGCCGAGGCTCGAGCGTTCGAGGATCAGACCTGAGAGGGCGCTCGCGAAGACGGTGCCCAGGGGTGCCCCGGCGAAGACGAGAGAACCGGCCATCGATCGCTCCTCCACGGGAATCCAGTGCGAGAGCATGACATCTTCGAATCAATATTTTACATGGGTTAATTTTTGTAAATCATGTTTGGAGAGGTTATTGGGTAGTTTGGAGTTTTGTTACTTGCTGCTGGGAACATCACACCGCAGGTGAGGCCGGAGACAAGGCGCAGGAGGATCAGGGCCCTCGAGCCGCCCAAGTGGACGGCCAGGGGTGACAGGGTTGTTAGCGCGCCGGTCACGAGGATCCCGAGGCCAAGGGTGTACTTGCCGCCGAAGCGCTCGGCGATCATGCCCCCGGGGATCTGGGTGAGTGTGTAGCCCCAGTAGAACGAGGAGAGGATAACGCCCTGTAACAAGTTTCGGGAATCTTGTGTTAGCGCTTAAGGTGGCTCCTCACTAAATCAAAACACTGAAGTATTAAATGATATTTTAAAGGATGATTCTTGAAGGTGCAAGGAGTCTTTTCCCAAAATTTTAGACCTCGTCACCACCGAAATTGTTGAAAAAAACTAACTGGAAAATAGACTCTGTAACATAGCCTCTTATGGAGGGTCGTCAAATTGGTGGCGCAGGTTGTATGATATCTCAGCAAAGATACTGTAGTTCTTAATAGAAAACTATGTAGCAGATAGAAGAAATCAGAATTTTTCCAACGACATTCAGGTACTTGGACATTACCATGGATTTTATAGGATATTTTGTGAAAATAGTAGATAACTGTGCAAGTCACGGAACAGATGAAAAGTGTGGGGCGTCTGCTACACCGAAGAGCGGTAGCCCGCGTAGTTTGAATTGGTCAGAAAGTTGTACGTCAGCTTTTAACAACTTTTCTCGGGCTATTACTACTTTTTTATTCGCAAATTGTCCTTTTTTTTCCTCTCGTACGACGAGCAGGACGATTTGTCGGGGGCATTGTCTTTTTTGTTAGGTACTTATCGTCAGCTTATTATTATTTACATACAAGGGTTATGTTGTCAGATTTGTATACATACGTCTGCTCGGGTCACTGTATTGTATGATATATAGGTCAACGGTGTAGATGTGACTAAACTTTTTTTGAAGGGACTATAGGTACCTATCCATATTTAGTCAAGAACCTCCACAGCCAATGAAAAGCTGTGTTGCAGTATGCTTACTCTTCTTGTGGGATTTATAGTGAGGAGCCACCTTAAAGGTGTTTCAAGGGGCACTTTGATGGGTGCTTAACGATGCCCATGTGAATTTAAGATAGAGGGAGTGGCTCTATTTTAGGAAGTGCAACCATTTTTGCGTGCCGTCGAAATCAAGGTCCAAAAGTACCTTTATATACATTCGTTTGACTCTGTCCATATATGTACTTGATACTGTAACGTCACGAAATAAAACTTTTATCCATCCACCGGCTGAACTATTATTAAACTGTAATGTCGTTAAAAAAAATAAGCATTGTTTAGTTGACAGAGTGTAGCTTGGTTCAATATTTTCAGCAGTTACAGACACATTTTGATAAAAAAGATACCTGTTGAAATTGCTTGAAGAATAGTTTCTTAAAGTAGTTCCTTTTCAGGGTTTTTTTATTTATTTTTTTCAAAAAGCGTGCATTGTAACTTTTTAACTACAAGACACGAATGATGATGACATTTCTATTGCAAGTTTCTTTTTGTAGAAACAAGATGGAAGACATGGTTGTGTATTTTAACGTTTTAGTATTGAAATTCCAGCAAACAATCAAACTACACAATACATCGAATGATATCAATTGTGTACCCATACCACTTTTACTTTATTTTAGTGATAAAATGTTCTAATTATGGGAGTTCTATCGGTTATAGAATCAACAAAATATGTAATAAACGTATTCAACGTAAAACCTTTAGTATGGAATGGTAGTTTTCGTATCTGGTGGCGCATTTCTTCAGGGCAAGCACCAGATCCAAGGGACCTGCGCAACAGGTGCTAACTCTATTTTTCTTACTGAGGGCGCACTAAACGTCCAAATGTTAAAAAAACGCCCAAAGTAGGAAAAATGATTTTTTGTAATTAAAAAAATGTTATACGCGACGAAGGAAGTTTATGTCGAAATCACTTGGCTTTCAATCGTTTTGTAATTTAAAATAAATGTTTTTAAATAAAAAATCCAGCGAATACATTAACTAGAAATATTGGTCATCCAGAAAAAATAAAGCTTAAAATTTGCACATAATATATTCACTCATATAAGGTGAATGTCCGAATTATCGCTCACTCGAGTAGACGAAATGTCCCAATTATCGGTCACTTTATTTATTTATTTTTTTTTTTTTACAGTTCTCAGATACACTTTCAATGAATAACAAGGTGGATTTGAATTTAAAAAAATATATTTTTTGGTGTTCCAAGAACAATTTTTATTAAGATATGAAGAAAAATTATCGATAATTGGGACATGAGCGATAATTGGAGCAATTCACCTGAAGTACTGTAACTAAGAGTTAATGACTTGTACTGATGGGGAATAAACTTCTGTAAGGTGACTTGGACGTTTTTTTATTGAAATGATAAAAATCTCTGAAACTCAGATATAAAGTATGTAAAAAAAGTATGCCGAATTCATTTGCGATAAAGAAACACTGTGGTTAACCACTTTATTAGCGAGGAGATAGCTATTGAAAAACTTGCCACTCTAACACGTACTCTTATGAGAATCATCACAAAATCGACTGTAACTTTAAAAGTAAGTAATAAACCTCAGAAATTTTAAATGATATTTATGTATTTTTGTATAGAGAAAATTCGAAGTAAAGTATGAAATATTAATGTTTCTCCTTGCCACTTGCACTATTTTCCGGTACTTTTCTGGAAATTTCTTCATCTTGAACCCATTTTTGTTATAATAAGTTTATTTATCAAAAAATGAACTGTTGAAAAGTGTTTATTTGATGACGACCTCTCTGGCACCTTATCCTGTATATTATACCAATCGCCCAAGCCCCTAAAGTACTAAATATATTCCTATCCCTGACTAAATTTGTATACAAAACAACACTGTTGTCACGTACTTTATAAAAAATAAAAATTTCAACTTCACACTTAAAAACGTGAACTGATGCACCCTTAGATTTGGAGAGATTAATTGTTGCACTCAAAGACCATATTCTACAGATTCATCAAATCTTGTTTTGTGTTCTTAAAATTTGAAAAACAGCCCATATTAATGCCACTTTCTTACTGTAACCTAAAGCACCCCACCTGCTCGTATTCACTCCACTCGTAGGTCCCACCCGTGAAAGCAGTCGGACGGTCGGGAGCATCGTTTTCGAGTCCAGGACACGTGTCGTCGGTAAAATTGGTCGTCTTCTCGTGGATGGGCACCACCATTTGCGTCACTGTAATGGATAGACAGACCCGCATGGCGTATGCACTGAACAGAGCGAGAAATCCCATGAAAACGAACACCCATCGTTGTGGGATTTGAGCGCCTAAAAGTAAAAATTTCAGTCGTCTCACACTGTTTTTTTTTTCCAACACCAGAAATATGGTTGACAATAAAAATCAACCGGTTAATTACTACTGGATATCTGTCTAGTATATCTTCTCACTCTTTACAAGGTGAGTGATCAAGGTAATTCGGTTCATAAAAACTTTAAACGCTCCTACACTTGAGTTCTATCATTTTTAAATTATGAACATGTAAACTTAGCAAAAAGATTTGATTTTTCTAGGAAAACAAATACTTACAACACGGCTCGATTGCAGATGGCATTAAAAGACCGGCGGTAGTATAAGTGTGACGAAGATGGACCTTTTTCAAACAAAGAATTTTTTCTTTAGGCGCGCAATACAATGACGCACGAATCGATTTAATGGCGTGGCACAAGATACATCTGAGTTTTGGTAAGTTTACCAAATGTGTATACACTGCAGGTGCGTTTTTGGCAGATGTCGATCTGTTTGAGCTGGTGAACCGAATGGAGCGCGTCGAACAATTGGCGCTTACTTTAAAGTACTGGGGTATCTGCTCGTTACTGGTAACCAGAGTGAATATGAGACGAGAATTAGTCAATAAATTTTTTTCACGTCATGTATACAAATATTTGATTGTAACAAGTAACAAAAAAAAAAAAAAAAAAAAAAAAGTTAAGACGCTGTCTTTAAGTCAAGGTTAAAGCCGCATGGCGACATCATGATTTATGTGCGCATCAGCAATTTATTTACTTATCCAGAAAGTGTAGGTGTTGGCTGTCCGATACGCATGTACGTAGTATCGTATGTGCTATCGTTGGAGCACGTTTGCACGATACCTTTATATGTATGGGTAAATTTTTTTTTGATAAAACACCTTAAGTGCGTCGTATTGTGCAGTAATGAGCCGAAGAGATTGGAAATCATTGAATTTCATACATGTGTGGGAATCGTAGGAATATTACAAGGCTGGTGAATCCAGCATTTTTGTTAGATGAATGGAATAGAACACGTATGTGAAATTATTATGGATGAAAACATTTTTTTTCTCAAAACTTAAGGTAATATTATTGTATCCATATCAATGATTTAATCGTATAAAGTTTAAAACTGTTGGTGTTAACAAGAATACGTTTTTATAGAAGTATACACAAATGATTTTTTATTTCTGCACTCAAGATAATTTTATTTAAAAAAAAAGTTTAACGTTCACAATTTGAGAATTTACTTTTGCTGAAGTAAAACTGGAAAGTATTTAACATAAAAACGGAGACTCAATTAAACTTAATCGTTAACTATGCTGTATTATACGTGTTGTGATAAACACATTTTAATTGATTAAAAATTTTTTTTTTGCACTTCAGTTCAATGTTTCAGAAATAAATATTTAATCAATCTTGGTGCCAATACAACATTAAAAAAAAAGTGCATACGTGTTGTTTAGAGTATTAGTCTTACTTTAAATATCTTCAGCCGTTCACTTTTATACTCAGCTCGACATCAAAGTGATATTTATCATCCACACACAAACAGGTCGAGTAGTGTGGAAGAAAATATTTTTAATGATTAATAATGATTAAATTTGTTGTTTTTTGACAGTCTTTTGATAGTTTAAGGGAAAAACGTATAACAATACTGAAAGTTGTAACAAAAGTTATCGTTTAAAGTATGATCTGAAAATGCATTGTATCAAAAATCCTTGAAGTATTTATTATTTCACGATTTTGTTGGAAGACACATCTTGTAATTTTTTTTTTGGAAATTATCATTTCAATAACTTTTTTAAATAGAATGTCATTGAAAAAGAAAACAAATTCAAGATATCTTCCAAAAAAAATTTACATTGTTTCTCAATGTTATTTGAGAAGATAAGTTTTTCAAACGATTATAACACAATGCATGTTTTAAATAAAGTTTTGAGATATACTACACTCGTTTACTTAGCTTTTGAGCTAACACATATATGTATGCTCGAGCGCGCGTGCGACGCTATATAACATATATATATTTTTTCTTTTATTTGTTGTGCTCGTGATCCCCCGTGAGTTAAATAAAGTTTTGAGATACTACACTCGTTTACTTAGTTTTCGAATCCAGTTTCGATGTGATTGATACAGCTGAGTAAAATTAATGAAACACTTTTTTACAGATAAAAATTTATTGTAATAGTATGTGTCGTTTAATTTACTCAATAAAAATTGAGGATGAGTTTTTTTTCACTAAATACGTATGAAAAAAATGTCATCATTAAAATAATTATATTGCAGTTCAATTTATTATCATAAACGAAGAAATGTCTGCAGGGATTTTTGTATACCAATTGATGGTACATAATACCTATTGGCGATTTGACTTGACGGCAGATAGTAAGCATGTGTAGACTTACCTACATTTTCGTCTGCCGCAATACTCAATGTATTTATACTCATCCCTTTACCCTTTTTCCAAATCAACACAGATGGCACCACTAGTCTATACTTGTACCGTCTTTCTAATCTCACGGCTCTTATTATTATTATTATTATTATTATTATTATTATTATTATTATTATTATTATTATTATTATTATTATTATTATTATTATTATTATTCACGTAATTATTAAAAACATTTTTTTCCATCTTAGAGTAATATTTTTCGTTCAAGTCCACGTTTGGGTGGATGAAACTACTTAGATCGGTATCCAAACCCACCTTTTGAGCGAAATATCTAATTTTCCGGGCACAGAATGAATTTTTTTTTTTTATCCAACGCTATTAGTCACAAACTGAATAGCTAAGAAGTAAATTATCGAGCTGGATGAATAAATTTTTAACCGCAGGAGAAATGCAACCAGCTTCACACAGATGCCCAACACCTGAGTTCGAATGTAATCGGTATGACTTTAGCGTAAAAAAACCATAAAAACCTTTAGCAGTCTCGTACACAGTAGCACCAGCCTTGCAAAACATCTTTCGTTTCTTGCTTGTCTATTTTTTTTTTTTTTTTTTTTCATAACTCCAACAATAAAACTTAACGATCGCGCCCCATCGAGTCAATCATTCATCGAGCTCTTCCGGCGCGCTGACGCCTTCTCACATACACGCAGGCGAGAGACTATAGCGTCGAGGAGCTGATTTTCCCCGTTTGCTCCTGCACATGTGCATAATAAACCCGTTGAGCTTTTATTTGCAAAAATCATCGGGCGAGCCCGCATCCTCGGATCCCCGGAAACTTCCTAAATAATGTAGGCGCGCAGCTGCGAGAGGATGAGACGAAGAGATGAGGAGGAGGGGGAGGAGGAATGAAATATTCATCCCTCCGAGAGAGCCGGGGGACGGAGGAGTGCGCGAACCGTTCGAAAGATGCTTGAGGGGGTGCTTAGGGTGGTTGCTCGTGCATGTAGAGGAGCGTGGATGCGCGCGGATGAGGAAAAAAAGTGCTCGATTTGGGTAACAAACGAGCGGAGAGAGCCCCGGGCCCGCTCGAAGAATTTCGAGGCATGATTCCCCTCTGATTCGTTTTACTACGGTCATTCCGCTGAATTAGGACGTTGGGTCTGTATACCCGAGCTCCGGGGGGAGAGGTACGTGTGCCGTGGCTTGCGTGTGTCTGGGATACGGGTATACCGGGCTCAGGGGGATGAGAGCTCATCCGGGAATGTTTTTCCGGGTTGTACACGCGGGGCTTGTACTTACGTGAAAAGCCTCTGGATTTTTTTTTTTTTTTTTCCTGATTAGCTTGTTGTCAAGGATTGTTATTTTATTGTAGGGTTCATCGCGAAACATAATGTACGAGTATTGTGTGAATAAGTATCGCGTGAAATTATTAAGTGGTAATCAATCGGATGAGTATGAATTTTTTTACATCAATGTGGTCATCTCGTCTCAAGGTCAACTGTTTGAGAACTTTTAATTTCTTTACCATTGCAAAGTAAAGTTTTCCAAAGTTTTCATACAAGTACAAGTACAAGTTTTCATAAAGTACCTATGTGGAAAACTCGGAAAAAGTCATAATTAATTTAAAAAATTTATAAAAAACACTAAACCTGGCGGGAACAAGATTTTGCAGTTTTTCTATAACGAGTTCCTAGGGTCTAAGCAACAGTTGACTCTTTTAATTTTGTGCGAGCATGAACTTGCAAGAAGGTGTAATTGTTAGTCGTGAAAACGTCTACTTCTTTCAATTTTTTTTTTATGGTACAAGAACAAATGTTTATCAATTATATTTCACGTATTGAATACAATAAATCGTAAAAATGCGTAAAAATCTGCATGACTTTTACAATGTTTGAGGAAAGCTTATGCGTATAATTAATTTTTCGATGCCAAACAAATATTTTTTTCTCAATACTGTTGTCCCGTTTTGACTCTTTGTAAACTGGTAAGCGTCTATATTTAATACAAATTTAGATTTTTTTTTTCAACTTACTGAACACATTTCTCAGAACTAACTCTTAAACTTTTTACTTTTAACAGTATTAATTATTTTTCTTACGCTACTGTATTTTTTATTATTAGTTTTTGGTCAATTTTTGGGCCTTCCAGTAGCTTTTGACAAAAATCAAGCCTTATTTGTGTTACTTAATCCTATCTGTGTTGCAAACATTTTTTTTTTTTAGATTAAAATAAATTTTCATTATGGTCTGAATATTTTAATTACTCGTTAGATATACTTATAATGAATTTTAATGTACCAAACTCTTCAACTCAGTAGATATTTGCTTTTTTTTTTTTAATTATCAGTATAGCTATACACGAGACTAACAAGATATAAACCAATACCCATAGCTTCTGATTTTACGAGCTGCTATCATTGTAAACAATTCGGGAAAATATTTAATGAACTGATTGTTTTGCATTTAACAGTAAAAAACAAATATATAAAAAATATTATTTAATTATTTTAAAAAACTTACCCTTATTTATCCATAACTCGAATGTCTCTTTTTTTTCCATCGAATTTAATGCCGTCAGCTACTTTAAGATGTTTAATTTAAAAGACCTGTTTTTTAAATTCATTCAATAACCGTTGGTAACGCCATGGTAATTCTTTCGTGACATAGTTAGTATATAGTAATGAATTATTATATAATGTGTATAAATACATGATATACACTGCACAATTAACGTAACAATTAAATGGATAAGCTTTTTCTCGATCGAACATGAAAAAATACGTTAGTGTTCGCCGTTTGGCCACGTAAAATCATCACAAGAGAACAGAATGAAATCAGATTACATGCAACACGAAAAAAAAGTATGAGTATATCTACTTGTACTTATAGCTCTAAAGCAGCTATGGAAATTTCCTAGCACCTA